CATGAAGTGACACGAACTTTACTTCGTTTGACGAAGTGAACGTTCAAAGGCAAACATAAGCGACAGAAGACGAACGGCGACCACTTTGTGCAGGGCATGCTTTCGTATTCAGTAGGGCTGCTCCAATAATCCCTTGGTACCTACTCCTTCACTCCACCAATGCGCAACGCAGGCCAGCTTTAAACTCTATGAATCCCATCGTACGTGGATCGCCGCATTTTGCAGACCAAATTCTCAATCGCTCTTTTCTGCCATTAGCCTAAATTAAAGCATGAGACTTCTTTCAATTGCAGCACGCATGCCTATACCAGAAATAAGAAAACCACGTCATGGGAGTCATGGGGAGCGTTATGTAAAGATCAAAAGCTGCACACAGCAATTTTCAAGTTCACAACATGGTGAAGTAACAATGAAGCGATTTCCATATTTGGCATTGAATTATTTGTTCTAATTTTTTTTTCTTCTTCAAAATTTTGGGATCGTAACGACTGGTCTTCTTTAACCTATGGGGTACGGATCCTTTGGTAAGAGTTGAAGTAGGAAACTGCAATACGTTGCAAAGGATCTAATCATGGTCTTCCTTTGGATAACTTCCTGTAGTTTGCAAATTCTTTCATGTCGCTTTCCCGTCTCAGGATTTTCATGTGTTCCTGTAATATAAAATTATGAGTTCCGTCTACCTGCAGTTTAATTTTAGATCATGGTTTGTCAAAAAAAAAAGGATATTGCATTAATGAGACTTTGCCATCTCTGAAGTCCCAAGTTATTTATTTGATACCATTATTCCAGATCTTTAATATTCGTCGCAAGAAGTTGCCTGTTGAAATTTTTCACATCAAGCAGATATTGTTTTCAATCATTCATGTCGCTCATTATTTCAGTTTATAAATCTCTCAAGTTTCTGGAGAATATTGAAAAGGAAAAGAAAAATCAGGATCGGTATAAAATCATCGAAATACCAGGAAACCATTTGTGGTTACGCTGGAATTCCCCAGATGTCGTAGAAGATAGAGTCTCTTGTCAATGCAGCCAGGCTCCTTGGTCACTAACTCCCTTGCTACGGTCAGGAATCCTTGCACTGCCTCAGACCCCATTTGGCTTATGTTCTTCAGGACTTGATGCTTCTTTTTATCCTCTTGAGGATGTTGCAAGGATTGAAATATACAGAAAGTACAGAATATGCATTAGACTTGAAAAAGCCACACAAATCATTCAGCATGAGGCCTTATTAAAAAATATTCCACGATTACACAAAATTTTTTATATTTCACATAGATCAGAGACGAAATGTCAGGCTGTGAAATATTGCGTGCAGTATGACTATGGGGGACCATATTTCAACTCACTTTCAGGATCTCACCATAAGATGCGTGTATCTCAGATTCATTCTCCATGGTTTCTGGAAGTTCTTCATATTTCTCCAGCTAATTAAAAATAACCATGCACGATGTGTTATTGAAAAACGAACAAATATATAATGCAAAAACTAAACTGCTTCATGAAATGAAGGGGAAAGGTTATCCTCCCCCAGAATTTCAAAGTTCTTGAACAATTCTTTCAAAATTCGTTTTCTCACTACGTCAAGGGCATCATAGGGGACTCCTTGTAGCTTGGCGTTCTGAAGTGCCAGCATCCTCTTTCCTTCCTGTCAAACCCCAGTAGGTTGCGCATGTGCAAGTATATTTTCCCTTCCCCGTTTCCTGTCCGATCTCCTTCCGTGCTTGGACAATATGCTGGCCGGCTATTACCTCGTATTTGTAGGCGTGAAACTGTGGTAATTAATTTCGTTCATCGTCACGTACCATACATTAACATTAACTCTCTGGAATTCATTAGCATCATGAAGACGATGAACTTACATAGCCGACATTAAAGGAATTCGAACTTGGACTGGAAGCCACGACAATGGGTAGTTGGCACCCTTTGTCTTCACCTTCCGCAGTCAGTTTCTCCTTCAGGATGTTTTTTTATCTGTGGAGAATGACCTTGCAGCAGAAGCACTTATCTCGAGAAGAGGAAAATTAATCTCGTGATTTCCTGCAGTAGATAAAACATCACCGTTCTCAGAAGTGTAAAATAAAAAATTGGATTCTAAGAAGTTAGTTTAAAGATGGATCTTTCTGAACGAGCATTATTGCAATTCAAAGAAAATTCTTGGTTCAAGTAATTGAATCCTAGTCCGTGTTTCAAATCCCAGGTGTTTCACANGATGCATGACCAGCCAACATATATGGCCAATCACCAGGTCTATCATAATTTAAACTTACTCAACCCTCGGATGTTTGACAAGAGCCAGCAGTTTGGTTTATGGAAGGATTGCAGGAACTCCTTCCTTGTGAGCACAGATGATGGAAGGTCAATCCTGTGTCTGGCTCCGATAACAACATAGGAATGATGGTGCTTGAAGAGTTCTCCTGGAATAGGAGTTCTCCTGGAGTTAAAGCCACCAACAAAGAAACTTGTATTACCATTATCAAACCAATTACTCACCTTCACGATGTTCCCCCTGCAAAATAGCCACATCAGTTTTTAAGTCATGCCTTCTGAGAGACTCTCGAACCTCTGCTGCATGCATGATGTCTCCAGCGCAAAACGCGGTGGGTATTTTCTTCTCCGCCTTGCAACGACCCTGATGTGCATGGAGGCCGAGGAGGCACTTCTCAACATCCCCAGGGTCCTAAAATTAAGACGAAACCAGCGGAAATATAAAAAGAGTCATCAGCTGGGCACGTAACACACAGAATTCTGAAGTCTTACATTGATGGAAAAGACCGCTGCATGGAGAGGATGAATGAAAGTTCCTTTGGGAATTTCTAGGGGGTTCCCAAGAATGGTTTTAACTTCTTGACCGGTTTCTGGATAATCTTTTTCCCACTGAATGCCTTGGCGACATATGCAGTTTCACAAAACTCGTCCATTCATCTGCTTCCTCGGGCTTCCTCATTCCCATGAACGACTTTAGGGACTCACTTGTCACTTGTTGCGAGAACCTGTGCAAAACTTCTTCCTCCTCCATACCGGCAATCCTGCATAGAGATATCTCTTTTTTTCTGGCTTCCTATCCTTGTTCCCTAATGAAAGTTACATGCTAAAAATGGAAGCGTTATGTAAAACCCAAAAGCTGCACACAGCAATTTTCAAGTTCACAACATGCTGAAGTAACAATGAAGCGATTGCCATATTTTGCATAAAATTATTTGTTCTAATTTTTTTTCCTTAAAAATTTTGGGATCGTAACGACTGATGGGGTACGGATCCTTTGGTAAGTGCTGAAGTAGGAAACTGCAATACCTTGCAAAGGATCTAATCAGGGTCTTCCTTTGGATAACTTCCTGTAGTTTGTCTGCAAATTCTTTCATGTCACTTCCCCGTCTCAGGATTTTCCTGTGTTCCTGTAATATAAAATCATGAATTCAGTCTACCTGCAGCTTAATTTTAGATCATGGTTTGTCAAAAAAAAAGGGAAATTGCATTAATGAGTCTATGCCATCTCTGAAGTTCCAAGTTATTTATTTGGTACCATTATTCCAGATCTTTAATATTCGTCGCAAGAAGTTGCCTGCTGAAAATTTTCACATTAAGCAGATATTGTTTTCCATCATTGATGTCACTCATTATTTCAGTTCATAAACCTTCACTCAGGTTTCTAGAGATTATTGAAAAGGAAAAGAAAAAACAGGATCGGTATAAAATCATGGAAATACCAGGAAATCAATTGTGGTTATGCAGGGATTCCCCGGATGTCGTAGATGATAGTCTCTTGTCAATGCAGCCAGGCTCCTTCGTCTCTAACTCCCTTGCTACGGTCAGGAATCCTTGCACTGCCTCGGACCCCATTTGGAATATGTTCTTCAGGACCTGATGCTTCTTTTTATCCTTGAGGATGTTGCAAGGATTAAAATATACAGAAAGTACAGAATATGCAGTAGACTTTAAAAAGCCAGACAAATCATACAGCACAAGGCCTTATTAAAAAATATTCCACGATTATACAGAATTTCTGATATTTTACATAGATCAGAGACGAAATGTCAGGCTGTGAAAAAAGATATAGCGTGCAGCGTGATGGAGACTATATTTCAACTCACTTTCAGGATCTCACCATAAGCTGCGTGGATTTCAGATTCATTCTCCATGGTTTCTCGAAGTTCTTCATATTTCTCCAGCTAATTAGAAATAACCATGCACGATGTGCTATTGGAAAACGAACAAATATATAATGCAAAAACTAAACTGCTTCATGAAATGAAGGGGAAAGGTTATCCTCCCCCAGAATTTCAAAGTTCTTGAACAATTCTTTCAAGATTCGTTAGAAGCTACAAGATTTCTCACTACGTCAAGGGCATCATAGGGGACTCCTTGTAGCTTGGCGTTCTGAAGTGCCAGCATCCTCTTTCCTTCCTCTGTCAAACCCCAGTAGATTGCGCATGTGCAAGTATCTTTGCCCTTTCCCGTTTCTTGGCCGATCTCCTTCCGTGCCTGGACAATGTGCTGGCCGGCTATTACCTCGTACTTGTAGGCGTGAAGCTGTGGTAAGAAAATTCGTTCATCGTCACGTAGCATACTATAAACATTAACTCTCTGGAATTCATTAGCATCATGAAGGCGATGAACTCACATAGCCGACATTGAAGGAATTCGAACTTGGACTGGAAGCCACGACGATGGGTAGTTGGCACCCTTTGTCTTCACCTTCTGCGGTCAGTTTCTCCTTCAGGAGGTTTTTTTTCTCTGTGGAGAATGACCTTGCAGCAGAAGCACTCAGCTCGAGAAGATAAAAATTAATCTCGTGATTCCCTGCAGTAGATAAAATATCACCGTTCTCAGTGTAAAATAAAAAATTGGATTCTAAGAAGTTCGTTTAAAGATGGATCTTTCTGAACGAGTATTATTGCAATTTAAAGAAAATTATTGGTTCAAGTAATTGAATTATAGTCCGTGTTTCAAATCCCAGGTGTTTCACAAATTTGTTCACAGAATGCGAAACAAAACGCACCGCGATAACAGGATTCAAGACTTGCTCGACTCCAAGAAGTAGCAGATGCCTTCCTCTTCTTTGTTCTAGGCTCGGAGTCCTCTCTCGCTCTAACCCCTTTCCTACAGGTTTGTCTCATGCTCGACTCCGGATTCGCCTCAAGGATGGGCGTGACTTCCGTCCGTGATGGAGGAAACACCGTCGAAACGAACGGAACTGATATTTCCGAGCGTTGAGAGGCATACGTAGTATTGCAGGACTGGCGTCTTGAATGATGGAAATAAATTCGTTGCGAAACATGCAAGAAATTGCTTCATTCAGGGATATGAATTTACGCAAATTTTTCCACTCTTCATGGAAAACAAAAAATTACGGAATGGACGCATGAAAGGAGGACAAAATGATCGCACGTATTTCTCTCTTTGCTTAGTCTTTACGAATCCAGCTAAAGCATTTGTCGATTCCACTGCAATAAGTGCATGAACCATTGTTTTGGAATGTAAAGGCGGGGGCCAAAAAAAAAAATTTGCCTTGCAAACTTTTTACATAAGATCAACCACTTCTCGAAATACCTTGGAAATAAATTCGAAATACTGTAATAAGAAAAATAAAACAAAAACATTATGGGAGGTTAATAGAAATTACTTACTGGTTGTCATTTCCTGTGCTGATAGAAGCTAATTGCTGCCCTCTTTGAACAACCTCAAGGACTCGGTTTATGGCCTTCACCAAACCTTCAAGACGTCTTGTTTGAATATATTCTTTTAATATTGCAGAAGTGATCTTGTTGCTCCCGGTGATTCGACTCCTGGGGACGGCAACAGTCTCTGAATTCCTTCAAACACCAACTGCAGAAAAAAAATTAAATAATGTTTACTAGAAGCCTATTCATATGTGCCCTGCTAACCCTTGAGTTAGTAGTAACTTTCCAGGGAAGCCCAACAATTCATTGCATTTTCCATGAGGATGAAAACAATGAATAACGATTGCACGCTTTCTTCTAAATTTAACGTCAACATTGAGAGGGTCAATAAGAGAAAGGAGAAGTTCTACAAGAAAGAGTTTCTACAAGTACCACAATTTTAACCCAGAAACATAACAATTTTTTAATAATCAGACTTAGGCATTTACCTCGATGTGGTCATGGTTTGGATGCAATTTGGCAGCTTTGATGGCAGGATATTCTCTCTTTCCTCCCTTGACCTTGAGGCGCTTCCCATCTTTGTCTTTCTTGTTCTCACCAACTATGAGAAACATTTCTTTTTCAATAGCGGAAAAGAACACCCATTTGTCTCGGAAAGCAAGGAGCTCACACTAAACAAATAATATGCAAAATTATTCAGATGAGCAGCAACCTCATTTTAACGCGATTACACGATACCCTTGAAAAGCTCACATTTCCCATTCATGGTGCGTTTGGGAGAGAGAACTCTCAAATTGCTGTATTTACAGGGTGACTAGAAAGTTTCCGGACGCTTTAAAAATAAAATATCTGTAGCCAAAGCAACAATGACAAAATAAATTTTAACGGAAAATGATAGAAGACAATTTTAATATTAATATAATCAAATATTTTCAACCTGATTGCCCTTTGCATTGATGCTCTGCGTCAATCATTTTGGGAACTGTTCAACGACTGGCCAGAGCATTCAAGGTTGTGGAACGACCTAAATCCATGGTCTTTAAATAAAACATATTAATTTTTTTAAGGAAACCTTCCGGTCACTCTGTATTCTAAGGATATCTTATGAGAACTGATAAGGCAATGACCGCATAACTTACGGGATGATGAGGGCTGATCTCCAAGTTGTTCGCGTCCGCTGGTAGAGGTGAACGAAACGTCCACTTCGTTCATGGTATACACCTAGCCCTCCTACTTACGTCAGTTGCGCTAGGAAATGCACTTAGGCCTACTTGGGATTAAGGATTAGGATTAAGCGAAAGACCTAGTCCGCTTCCAGAGAGCCTGCGGTAGTCGCTAAGAAACAAAGGTATAGGAAATCAGAGTACAGTCGTCCCTCGCCACTTCGCGCTTCGACTTTCGCGGCTTCACTCTTATGAAATAACACTCTTTAGTCACCATTACACTCGTATTACCCAATATACAGGTATTTGAAAAAACCGCGATAGAGTGAAGCTGCGAAAGTCGAAGCGCGAAGTGGCGAGGGACGACTGTAAATGCGATGAAAATTTGAAGAAACTTCAAGAAACGTATTGTATAAGTGACAGCGAGCCGATTAACAGAGAAGGCAAATACGTTAAGCAGCAAGTAGAAGGAGGAATATTAAAACTTCCTAAGTGCAATGGAAGTGGCAATAAGGTGATTTTTTCGCAGTAACTTGGTAATAGGAATATAAATCAAAAGGTGCAAAAGGCAGGCAGGCACAATCTATGGAATGGTGAATAAGTACCTTATTAATCAGTAGGAAAAGATAAGCAAATAAATGACAGGTTAGGAAGGAAAGAGCAGAAGGTTCTTGCGATGTTTGCTGCAGTTGGGTCCACGCTTGAGGACGAGAGCGATCCGGCACGCACAAGAGCAAAGGCGTTACTGTAGGCCTTACTCTACGCTCAGCCTGGAGGGTAGGGGCATAGACTAAAACTCCGTCTCCTCTCTCCTTTCCCATTTCACCCCTCACCTCCCCTCCCCTTTGCCCGGAGGTAAGGAGTCAGGCAAAAACGACCTCAGGGAACTGGTTTTTTTTTTCCCCTCGTTGCTGAGAGACTGGTCCGGTATGAACCCATGGAACCTAGGAATTTCATGTATTCCAGGCTTCTCCAATGCATTCCTTCTAATTTGGATTTAGACATTTCTAAATTTAATCTTCAAATTTTTATTTTCTGCAAGATTTTGAAGCGTAATTTTCTTTAAATTGATCAAATAACAGGACGTCCCAGAAGTCAATCCATCTCTAACCCTACTCCTACTGAATTGATTAAGACGTCATTATGTCACCGCCACTAGATTGTTTTGCACACTCTACCTTAAAGAGATGTAGGCCAAAACAAATGGCTCTATCTGATGTGGCTCCTGCATACATGTAGCCCACTGGAACCCGGAATATTCTGGAACCCGCGATACTAGGATTTGAGTATTATAATGTTGCATTTTTTCCGTTTTTTTTCCGACAACGCATTCAGTCATCTTGTAGATCAGCACGAACATTCTCCTCGTAGTCCTCTTTGAGGTGGACGCATTTCTGCCACCGCGATTCACACATGGGGATTGATGACTCAAGTGTGAATCGCGGTGAGAAGAAACGAACAGGATCTTGCTGAACAGGATCCGCAAGGAGTGATTCCGGGCAGAGGTGAGTCCGGATTCGGATAATCCTCGGTTCGGATCGGATCCAACGGTGTCAGTGCGGATTTCGGTCGGTTTCGGTTAGGAACCGTAGAAATCGAGTCGGATCGGATCGGTCTCGGTTGTAAAACTGTTTCTGTGGATCGGATACGGTCGGATTTACTCATTTGAAAAAAAAATCCGGAACAATCCGATAAATCTGCATTGAAATTTTTGGATGAACCGAAAGAGGTAAGAAAGATTGCTCGCTTGCCAATTATGCACTGAGAAAAGGCTCTAGGATCCAGAAATGTCAATTCCAAGTCCAGACAATAGATTTTTATGCGAATGGAGAAAGAAGGTAGCATAGAAATAGGTAGAATAGAAAAGGAAGTAAGGAAAAGTAGAATAGGAAGGTAGAATAGAAAAATGGATTAGAAAAAATTTTTCTAATCCATTTTTGGGAAAGAGATGATCGATCGCGTTCGGAGGAAGTCGAAGGGATCCGGTAAGAAAAAAAGTATAGGGTTTTCCATCGAGACGAAAGAGAGACCCGTGGAGGCAGGCGGGGGGAAACGACGGAGGAACGAAGGCAAATCGGCAAGTCGAAAAAACCGTTAGACGTTCGTACTTTCTCCGAGTGTATCATTTTTCTGCAATTCCATGCAGAGAAGACATGTAATTTCCCTCTCGGATCCATTCGGAACTGGAAATGAAGCATTTACGACGCCATTCGAATGGACGATCGGAAATAGCAAAACGCTTCCAAAACGCTTCATCTCTAGTGTATCTAAAGAAAATATGAAAGAGTTTATGAAAGATAAAGAGTTTCGTTCCTTCTGTTTCTTCTCGACTCTCCCATTCCTGGAAGGATTCCTAATGAGGACTTTGTTTCCCTTGTAGGGGCGACGAGGATTTTCGCCATGGGGACAGGTGGAGACGGGCGACCGGGGATGTGGGAAGAAGTCCCCGAGAACACTAGATGGGTCCAGGAAGCTTGCTCCTCATCGGACTTTTTCCTTGCTCACTCCGGCATGCTGATCCACGGGGCGGGGGGAGAAGTCCGGATTCTTCATCTGGAGGGGAAAGATCCCCGTGAGGCCCCTCACGGATGGTACCATAAATTCCGCATCCTCCCTCCTTTTATCGTGAGAGGGACGACTGGGGTGGGGATCCGGGAATATCTTTTTCTCTTGGGAGGGAAGAGAAATCCCCGCAAAGGACTAAGACTGGATCTCCACAGTGGCAAATGGATGGATCTCCCGAAGATGATGGGGGGGAGACAGGACGCAGCTTCGGTGATGTGTGACCCCCACACCATCCTCGTCTTGGGGGGGAAAGACCCCGAAACAAGGATGAACCTCTCCAGCTGCGAGTGTTTAGACATGAGAGTCTGTCAGTGGTCGTCATTTCCCCTAAACATCCCCCTTCCCGTGAATAGTCACGCAGCGACCCTCTACAACGATCATATATACATCTCGGGGGGATTTAGAGCTGGGGAATCTCTGGGTACGGTGTGGAGATGCAGGGCGAATGCAGGAGGGCCCTGGGACCCACTACCCTCTTTACGATTCGACAGACATAATCATGGGATGATGAGATTTGGCGCGGCTGGACTCCTAGTCATCGGCGGGAATTATCAAAAGGGATCAAAGAATACAGAGGTCCCTTCGACAGAGATGCTGACCCTGGATGCCGTGGGAGGATGGGAGACCCAACAGAAACTTCCTTTTAGAAATGTTTGGAAGGCGAGTTCGATGATGTCGATGGGTGGATGGTGATCCAGGCCCTCTGGAACCGAGGTGGAGGATCCTGGGGCAAGGACGTGGAAATACAGAGTTCTCCGACACGAGACACCTTTTCTAACCCTTTCGACTCCTACGGTATCAGTTTCCTCGAGAATCCCTACCACGCGTGCGACTCAGCGATCGCATGCGTATCGCGTCCGGGGATACCGACGGATGTCCTTTAAGGATGGGAGACGGTCTGTCGGCTTTGCCCTTCCTTCCTCGTGCCTCGGAGACGAGGAAACGACATCGTCCGTGGTTTGATTCCGTGGATCCACTGGAGTGTTTTCACGTGATTAAATTCTCCACTTCCCCGCATCTTAGTGCTAAAAAGAAGAAAAACGTCGAGAATCGGTCGTTGGAGTCCGTCGATATGCCGAGTCGAGATGGCAATGAAGGTGGAACGATCTCTCGTCGGCCGTCGACGTCTTCACGCGTCGACCGGGAAGAAGAGTACCCCCGACGAAACCGAATTCCGTTTCGCGACTTCCAGGAATCGTCTTTCTGTGCACGTGTGAGGAATCTCACGGAGGCCGAGATGGGTGCGTCACGTCGTCTCTTCCGCGAGGACACAACGATACGTTCGTGGTGTAGCAGAAATGAATTTCCCCGTTCTCGGCCGGTCCTAGCAAGCCCTTCTTCGGAAATCATACGATCGTTCGAACATTCCATCGATGGCCATAACGTAGCGACCCCACTCAGGAAACATCTGCTTTCACCTTATTTCTCTTGGCATCGGTATCGCGAAGCATGGGGGAAACGGGCCGTAAGGATGTGATGGCAGTTTCAGCTGCGTGAATCGGCCGAGTCCGAAAGTGGGGATTACCAGTCTGCACCTTTTCTGCCCTCGACATATCGAGATGTAGCATTCGCAAACTCTCCAGAGGATCACCGCACTCCAAACACCATTCCGATATTATTGGCGAACATCATATGCTTTCCAGTTTTTTTTTTCACTTGTGGAAATATTCGTATTTCTGAATGTGAACCGCGATCTTCTCGTTTCCTTGGGATGTGGATCTTTCGCAGTGGCGTCCAGTCATGCGGATTTTTCTCAACGGTACATCAAATCACTATAAAATAAAACTTACTTACATTACTCGTTGTCAAAGTTCTGTCGACGTGATTTCGATGAAACGCCCGGAATCTGATGGAAATGAACGCAGAAGAAAATCAATACTGAATTTGCTATACATCATTGGCGTGAGCGTACCGTGGATGGAAAATTGAGGGGTGGGGGTCACGGGAACTCTTGGGTATAGTTATATCATGCATTTCAAATGGCATTTCCTTTCTTTTTGGCTTCTTGAGAGTGTGGGGTACGTGCTCCTTCCCCCTTCCACCGACGCTATATCGCTGATAGTTGGCAAACGCCACGTGTTCTTCGTCCGAGTCGGTGATGCGTAGCGTGATTTGCATGCCTAATCGCACTCCTCTGATCTTTCAAGTATTTTTCACGTTTGTGCGGTGAAGGACTTTTTCAGGCAAATATATATTTTCAAATCTCATTCTCCGTTTTATTCTCTTTGTTTTGAAGAGGGGTGCTTGCTCCTTCATATGCCACTTTCTCGTATCGACTGCTAAAGTCGCCAGCATGAGACAGACGCGTCGCATCGGTCTATTCTAGTCCATCGTGTGTTAACATCGAGCGGGAAATAGTTCCTTAGGTTTGAGGTCTCGTGAATGTCTGTAATGTTTCTCCTAACATCGAAGGCCTTTGTCTTTTCAGCTAGCCAAAAAGAAATAGCGTCCCGCCAGCTCTCAACATCAAAACATATTCAACTTAAGCTTATTAAATTTATGAAATTATCGTGATGAGCAGATTCATATAGCACGATCAGTACTTTTGGCTAGGGATATATCCTATCCTTATAGCTTATCTTTATGGCTTATCGTTGACCGTTCTCTGTATCCTTAGACAGGGACGTTTCTAGGGGCGGGCGAACCGCGATCGCCCGGGGCGCCAGCGGAGGGGGGGGGGGGCGCCGTGGAAAGAAACACCATAATAAAACAAGCATTTTTTTATGTGGTTAGCGTCCACTTTACGCGAATTAGCACTAATCGGAACGATATAAAAATTTAAATTATGAATCATATTTCATGTTATGCCGTGCAGCCTCCTACCAGCCTCCTACCAGCCTCCTACCAGCGTACTGGTGAGTTTGATAACAGTTTCATAATCGTGCAGAAGCCCCCCCCCCCCCTTCCAACCTTCCCCTCGTATATGCGGCATGATGCCACGCTGAGACTAGGCAATGGGTATCAAGTAGGACCGTCACGACAACTCGATGCATCGATACCAATATCGATGGTTGGAAGAATCGATAGTTTTTTCGACCATCGCGATGTATGCGCAAAATGATGGGAAATGCCTCATTGGATTGAGACGAATACAATACAGTCCGGGCGGGGAAAGGTAGAGGCGGCGTGACCCGCATGCAGTTTCTTATCACGATCAATTTCTGGAAATGCTGGAAGTGACTATATGAAATAAAGGAAGAAAAAAAACCAAACAGTTCGAATCGGAGACAGGAAGTGGGAAAGGAGAGGGAAGACA